GATGTGCCAGCCTGGACACCCTCCTGTCCCCAAGGCTTGCTGCAGGGCTCCCAGGGGCAGCACTGGGGGGCACGGTGACACCCCACCCCCCCTCCCCCAGTGCGGGTGCCTAAATCACGGGGAGGGGGAGCGGATTTTTGTGAGGTAGTTCTTGCAAAGGGGGAATCGCTGTCGTGGGGTTGGGGACAGAGGGGGACAGAGCCTTGTGTGTGTGTGTGTGTGTGTGTGTGTGTGTGTGTGTGTGTGTGTGTGTGTGTGTCCCCTCTGTGACCCCCATAGGGGCAGAGCACGGGGCTTTTGTTCCACACGCAGTGTCCAGGGGGGTGCACCCGTGTTTGGAGGGTGCGGGGGCCGCTGTGTCCCCACGTCCCGGTGGGCAGAGAGCAGGGGTGACTGTCACCCCCGGTCCCCGGCCACACTCCCCACGGCGGGTGGGTGAAACGGAGCCCCACTGCGGGGATCCAACCGGCCCCATGGAGGCTGAGCTCTCCGGGGCACGGCCCCTGTGACTTCTGTCTCCTTCCAGCTCCCAAAATAGCCCCTCGGTGGCACTTGGGTGAGCTTGGGTGCCCTGATGGGAACGGGAGATGGGCTCCCCTGGGTTAACCCCTGCAGTGCCGCAGGCAGAAGCTGCTCCACCCCGGCCCTTCCCTGCCATGGGGCTGATCCAGCCCTGATCCCTCCTTGACTGAGCGCTCGGCACCCCGACTACCCCAGCCCCAGAAGGGGGTGGGGGGGTTCTGCCCGCCTGCAGCCCTGGGGATGGTGTCCCCACGCCAGCTCGGGCTGTTTTCCAGCCTCTCGCCTTCCTGCCTGACCCTGGTCGGGTAAACATCCCTCCAGCTGCAGCCAGCCCCGCTGGCCAGGCGTGCACATGTGTGCACACACGCATGTGCATGCACAAGCCACCATCGCGACCTTGGCGTGCCGGAGCCTGGCTGCTGCCAGCGGCATTTGGGGCAGGAGATACAACGCTGGCAGCTGCCATCTCAGCCAGTGCCAGGGTTGAACCTGCTGCGTGGGTCGGCGTGGGGGGCCGCGGGGTGGGTGAGTGGGACGTCTGGCAGCCCCCAACCCGCTCCCATGGGATGCTCCTCGCCCCACAGGTGAAATGCTACGGCTCGGTGCAGGGCACCATCTACGATTACGGGGCCCTGACCATCGATGGGGACGAGTACGTCCCCTTTAGGAAGTACGCGGGGAAGATGGTCCTCTTCGTCAACGTGGCCACGTACTGAGGCCTCACCCTGCAGTACCTCGGTAAGGGTCCCGTGGGGCACAGGCACCCTGGGGGACGTGGCAGGCGGTGTCACCCAGGCGTGCAGCCCTTGGCAGGTCCCCACGGGCCGTCCTGCCCTGGGGAGCTGAGGGAAGGACGGGATAATGCCTGCTCCCCAGGACCTGACGTGGCCAGGGATGCTCCGAGGGGGTCAATGCAGGTGTGGGGGTAAGTGCGGTCCCCTGCTAACCCATCCCTGCTTCTGCTTGCGTGCAGAACTGAATGCACTACAAAATGAACTGGGGCCCTACGGGCTCGTGGTCCTGGGCTTCCCCTCCAACCAATTTGGAAAGCAGGAACCTGGCCAGAACTCGGAGATCCTCCCTGCGCTGAAGTGAGTATTGCGGTGGGGGCTGCAGGGCATCTGCCCCCCTTGGCTGGGCTTGGGGGTCCCCTGGTACCCTCATGCAGCACGGAGAGCTGCCCATCGCACGGTGCTCTGCCCACCCTCCCCTTGCAGGTATGTCCGGCCAGGGGGTGGCTTCGTCCCCAACTTCCAGCTCTTCCAGAAAGGGGATGTGAACGGGGCGAAGGAGCAGAAGGTCTACACCTTCCTGAAGGTGGGTGCTGTGGTGGTGAGGGGTGGGGGGACAGTGCCCAGCTTGTTTTGGGGGGGCAAGGCAGTGATGTGTTGGCCCCCTGTTGCAGAACGCCTGTCCCCCAGTGGCGGAGGAGTTCGGGAACCCCAAAAACCTCTTCTGGGAGCCCCTGCGGAACCATGACATCAAGTGGAACTTCGAGAAGTTCCTGGTGGGCCCCGATGGCGTGCCCGTCATGCGCTGGTACCACCGTGCCAACATCGCCGTCGTGAAGAACGACATCATCACCTACATGAGGCAGCAGCAGGGCCAGTAGAGGTGGGGGATGCCGGCCTAGGGGGTGGTTTCCCCCCCACACTTCCCGCTGGCACCCCCCTCGCTGTTGCAGGGCTGCTCCCTGTCTGTCCCCTCCTGGGACGCTCCCCAGCAGCAGGAGCCAAACGCTGAGCCAGCACGCTGTCCCCTCCATCGCTCCCGTCTCTGCCACCCCCCCGGCCGGGATGCTGGGCTGGGCAACCCAGTGGCAGAGACCTCAGTGATGGGAGGGGGATGTTTCCCAATAACCCCCATGTCCCTCCTCCTGGCTACCAGCTCGCTCCCCCCACACCTTGTGTCCCCTGCTCCGCCATCCCGCCTTTGCCAGGCAGCAAAGGGGTTGGACGCAAGGGCTGGCTGCCCCCAGAGCAGAAGACCACGTCTCCATGAAGGCTTGGCCTGAAAGCCCCCCCGGTGTGGGGCGGGCCTGGCCTGATCCTGCGGGACACAGCGCAGCTCTTCAGTGCATTTCAGCTGCCTGTGGTCCCAGCGCAGAGATGTGCTCCTCTCCCAGCTGGGGACAGCCATCCCCTCACCCCCACCCCCCGCCATAGAAACGCCAAATAAAGACTCTGCAAACACGCAGCCCCGCGTCTTGGCCAGGGGTGGGGGAAGAGTGGGGGGCACAGTGGCCAGCCTGGGGGTACCAGTGGGGAGGGATGGCTCCCAGCTAGAGAAACTCCATGTTTTGGGGGTTTTTTTTCAGGGCAGCTGCAAACACGGGTTTATCATCACAGCGCAGCATTTGGGGAGATGGTGGAGGGGGGGGGTGTGTGTCTCATCGCAGAGCACAGGGGGGCAAAAGGAGCAGTGAGCAGCCCTCAGCGATGAGCATGCCGGGCCATCACTCCTCCTGCTGTCATGCATGTGACAGCCACGCTTACAGAAATAGGGTTGGGTTTTGTTTTTTGCCTTTTTTTTTTTTTTTTTTTTTCCCCTCCCTGTTTTCCTGGAGTGAGATTTGCTCTGTGCACGGGAGAGCTTGGCCCCAAGGCTGTTGCCACAGGGAAAGGGCAGAGGGGGGGAGCAGGGGACCCGGGGTACCCCTGTCCTGGCAAAGGTGGTGGGGCTGAGCCCAGCACACAGAGGGAGGCATGGATTTGGGGCAACAGCTCCTGGGATGCCCGTGCAGGGGTTGCGTTCCCCTCACGCTCGCTCTAACCCCACGGTACGCACCGGAGCACATGGGGAGCAGCAGCGCTGGCATCCCTCCCAGAGAAAGCAGCTTTCAGGATAAAACCAGAGAGACTCGGCTACACTTCAGTCCTTCAATAAATACAAAGACACCAACCACCCTCAGCCCGGGCTGTGGCTGTGGCAGGCACCCACCCCCCCGCACACGGGG